CGTTTTCCCAACACGGTTGCTGTGTGCTCGCTTGGAGCATGTTCAGGACTAGGTCCTGCATCCTTTCGACCTGGTGTGGTGATGCATGTTGGGTGCCCAGACTCTGCAGCGAGGCTCTGGCTTTCAGCGAGAAGAAATCTCAAGAGGTCGAAGGCTCCAGATTCATTCCGTGCCTCGGCGCAGACCGCAGACCGCCGGGACCGTGGACCGTGGACCGACCGCATCGGAGCGGTGCAAAGCGCGTTTGTGTCAGTTCGCTTGCAGGAGCCTAGAGCCCGGGCAAAGAGATGGACTGAACCAAGGTTAGAGTGAGAAAGAATCATACATATATAGATAGATCAACGGAAGGCAGCCAGCAAGTGCCGAAAGATGCTGAGCCTTGTGGCTAAGACGACTGAAAACCCTTGCACTACCTTCTCACATTCACTTGCAATGGCGCAGAATTCATTGAAAGGTGGATGCTGATGGCACTCCCGTTGGAGGGGAGTTGCGATGGCAATCTCTTCTGCTTTTTGCAGCTCCCCATCAAGACAGGCGCTATAGCGGGAGAATCATAGATGGGAGTGAAGATTGTTTAGACTTGAGGAAAGTCCATGCCATTACTCGTTGTGCTATTTCACTTTTTGGCAGGTAGATGGGTAGCCCTGTGAGGCACTTCAATCCATCTCAACGGCTTCTTTGAGCTCTCAAGCAACCGACGCAGCTTGGCCATCACATGGCAGGCTGCGGCTACTGGTGAAACGGACTCGGTGTCAGATTGCTTCACTGCTGAGCACCGAAACCAACATGGCAAAGGGTGTATATTCATTTTAGAAGAGTATGCAGAGCAAGACCTTGCTTGGCACAAACGATGGTCCCGAGACTTGAATGCCAAGATTTGAGGATGGCCCAGGATTCAGAGCATTTTCGACTGCATCTGCGAGAATGGCCCAACAAGTAGTCTATGTTTTTCTATCTTCTCAGGTGACCTTTGGGATGGTCCAGACTTGGTGGGTCCAGAAGCCATCAAGCGGGACTGGATTCTCGGCACAAAGACAGCAACCCAAGGGTGTGGAGAAAACAACAATATAGTGCTCCCCAAATAGATAGAAACGGTTTCCAATACATTTTTAGTGAGGATCTACTTTTCATTACTTTTCTATATATTTGGGGGGCTATATAACTGATGACGAAACAATCTTGTGTGGATGCGTGCAGACAATGAAGAGGCCCTTGAAATATGGCAGATACCACCTTGCCGGCCAAGGAATAATGCACTCTTCGCGAATGTGGCACCACGCTGCTTCCTACAGGCATTGGAGAAACTCACTTGCATGAGGCCTGGCCTGTGAGGGTTTCATGTGTTTCTAATGCAGAAGTATGCTCATCCCTATGAGCGAACCTCATTGAATTTTCTAATCTCAGTTGCGTTTTGTATCACTTTAGATCGACCTGGCCACTGCCATGGAATTGACAGTTGACAGGTAGCCTGTCTTTGTTCAGGAAATCTCTTCTTTTTTTTTTTTTCTCTCTCTCTCTCTCTCTGTCCCTCTCTCTCTCTGTCCCTCTCTCTCTATATATATGTACTGTATATATGTTCTGGAATGTGCAAGATTTAGAATGTTGTTTGCAGTGGTTTTCCATGCTTACGGTTCCATTCCAGCAAACTCTGCAGATGCTTGAGGCAGACAAATGCGAGCTTGAATTGTGACTTGGACAGCGGTTTCTCCCTTGACAAAGTAACTAATGTGAAGGGCAAGAGAGGTTTGAAGTGAAGTGAACAGCTTCATCCAATCTCCAGGCATCTTCTTATGTCCAATGTGTCATATGAGGTCCCAACAGCTTCTGGCAGAGTGCCTTTCCACCACAGCTTCGGGGCTTCGAAGCTCAATTCTTCCGATTGGCCTTGGAGCCTCGGCTTCTGTCAGAATCGGTCAGAAGCGCTCCCACGCAGAGCTGAGAGCTGTGAGAACCTGTGGTTGCTAAGGAAAGAGATGCGCTGAACGTTGTGGAAACGCCAGCTGGTTCTCAGAGAATGGTGGATTGCCTCTGGATTAAGGGGATACTTGGAACCAAGTTTCTCAAGGTGCTTGCTTCTGTTTCACAGAAAGCATCTCTTGAATTTGGAAGAAGCATTGTATTCAGGATGGCAGAAGATGCTACGAGCGTCGATGCGTTGCGCTCCCTGGGAGCTCCAATTTTGATCGCAGGACTATTGAGTGATTCTGAGGGATGAGCAAAAGAAGGAACAAGAAAGGGAAGGTTTGGGACTTCTTGACGTATCCGAGTCTCATGTTGGTGACCCATTGTGATGTTGGACGCCTTTTTTCGCCTACGTATGGTGTAGCTACTGTGACACTTGTGCTCGACAGGAGAATGTCCAAGATCTCATTTTGAGGCAAATGGTGGCTGCTTTGTCGTGCCTTTGCTGCTTTGTCGGGTGCCGTGTGTGGACCCATCACATGCAGAAAACGGGGAAACCGGGTGTTGGAAGCTGAGGGACCGAGCATGCTGCGGGGTTGGCTCCGAGAACGGTATGAATTGAGCTCATCGAACTTCCAGCAGCTTCTGGCACTAGTGTCGCATTGCTTGGAGGAGCTCTTGCCTCAAATTTCAGTCGTCAGTTCATTCTTGGGACCATGAAACACAGGGTGATGGAAACCTATGATCAGCGTCAACTTAGCACTGCTGTTGGCTTTGCATGCGTGCTTAATACTTTAGTTTAGTAGTTCCGCCCTCATCGTTCATTCACAGGACGTGATCAGCCCGAAAGATGACTTGGAGGGGGTTCCACTCCTCCTTACCTTGTCCGAAGAAGTGGCCAGATTTGATTGCTCTGGACAAGAACGAGTCTGAGCAACATTTGGACAGTCAAAGGTCAATGAAGTCTTTTTGTTGAGTGCTTCACAAGCAGGGTAACGAACACGAACGTTCAGATCACTCATGGAATTATGCAGCGCTTTGTGTGAACAGTGGCTTGAACGCTTTTGTGCAGCAGTTTTCACTCTGTAAGGATATGTTTGTTGCTTGTCTGATGCAGATTGGGCACTTGCACAGCATTTGCCACCAGCGAGAGTGATCCATCGACAAGCAGGTGCAGCGGTGCTGTTGATGCACCCGCAGGTGGAGATTTTGAAGGCGGAGATTTTGGCATCGCTTGATGTATTTCCTATGACACAGGCAACCAGAAGGGCATTTTGGGAATGGTATCCTCGTGCAGTTTCCAAGAAGCAGTGTCCTCCTCTGCCAGATCCACCACAGTCTGGGGATCATGTCCTCGACAAATTGCAAGTGCTTGAACTTGCTGACTCTGAGGAGTCTGTCTATTTGTCCGAAAGGAAACGATCCTTGCAAATTTCGGTCAAAGGCTGTGAAAAGTTGGCAAAGGGGCTGCTCGCCTGCAAGGTCCTTCTCGTGCAGGAATATGTCACGTGCCCTTCAATGGAACGTCCGGATGCAGTGGTTCGTGCTCTGGCGCACGCGCAGAAGTCTCGAAGCCATTTGAAGCTGATCGAGGAGGAGATTGAGCCAGTGCGATCGGTGTTGGAAAAGCTCACGCAAACAGAGCTTCCTGAAGCAACAGAGGTCGCCTCCAAGCTGCCTGTGTTCCGTTCTTGGGGTGGTGGCGTTGGCTTTCCAGACAAGTCGCTGATGCCTCCCCTGACAAGTGCCTTGCGCATTGCCCTTCAAGAGGTAAAGTTGGACGCATTGGATGAGGAGGATCACGCAAGCATCACCTCCTTGCTTCACAGAATGAACACTCCACAGTTGAACCCTGTGGAAGTTGCAAAGCAGGCCCTCCAGCAAAGCAAGAAGCCGGTCTTGCTAGCAGAGCTTCTCCGTGCCAATCTTTCGGAGGCCTTTCATGATGTCGAAATCTTTCTGAGTGCGAGTGGCAAGCTGCTAAAGCCAACCTCTTGCTTGCTATGGGACGCTGAGCAAGACTTTCCGTTGATCCCGCAGCGCCTGGACGCAGAAGTCTTTCAAACACATTTTGAGGGTTTGAAGCAGCAGCTGAAGATGCTGGGATGCCGAACGGAGCTGGATCAGAGAGATGTGCTGGACTTGGCAGAGCAGATTCAGACTTCA